TTTATTAATGCTACTTTTCTTCTGTGGTGTAGTTCCTTTTTTTTTGCATACCTTATTTAATTCTAAAAACTGTTAAAAGTCTGGTTGTTTTGCATTACCTTTTAAAGCACCTATTTTTAATAAATAGTGTCCAAGTATTAAAGTGGGAAAAATCTTTGTGGCAGTAGCCAGTGTTTGATCGTCTACTGATTCACAGCAGATCAGGCCCCTTTGGGGGGTTCAAATGCTGCCCAACATTTAATCCAATCCAGTTATATAGCATAGCAAATGAAAGAGTAATTAAACTGTTGGATTATAGCTAGAGAACTTAGGTTTGAGTCCAGACCTACTTATGAAAATAAGGCCAGTCGCTCCCTCTGGTCTAAGCCAGGTGTCTCCAAACTTGGCAACTTTAAGACTTGTGGACTTCAACTCCCAGAATTTTTTACCCAGCTAAGCTATACCACTTAGTCACACTTCTTATTGCAATCCTATAAAGAGGATTTTCTGGAGGAAAAATGGTATAAAAATCTAACACAGAAGCCACCATTCCTGGCACTGATTCTGTGAATCTATAATTGGTACAATAGTAGTAGACAGCCAACTTACAGCACTGTGTAAAGAAGAGGTGTGCTGTGTTTCTCAGTTTTTTCACTGAATGATGTTGTGTAAAGTGAAGTTTTGCCCTGTTGATACTATCAAAGCAAACATTATTTATCACATTTATTTTTATTTATGCATTAAACACTTTTATATGGCCATTCAACTCACAGTGATTCCAAGCAGCTTACAACATTATTATTATTTATAGTTGAAGTCCTTGGTTCAATAAGAACAGTTCGGGAATTAGTTTACAGTAACTTTACCTAAGCAGAAGTTCGGCTGTACAGCTTTATAAATCATACGTTTCTTTCAAATTGAAACACCCTTCTGCATAAAAATACCTTCAAAGAAGTTCTTGCCTCACATTTAGAGCAATAAGTGCTAGTTGTAGTTTAGTAAAACTACTAGAAGCCTTAATATCTCGGTATCAAAAGCAATTCTCTCAGCCATTTTGAATCTTTCTTTCCCTTTTGACAAGAAACAAAATGCTCCATTTTGTCTGTGAAATGATGAGCGTGCTGTTTATATAGTCTCTCTATCACTAGAGGATAATTCCAATAACCACTGTGGTAAAAAGAATAAAGTCATGAGAACTGAGTATGTCACAGACCAAAATAAAAAAAATGCAGTCAAGGAAAATTTAAATTAAAATCTAAAAAAATGTAAAATACTTTTAACTCTAGCTTATCTGAATTCATGTTGGAATCCACCTCATTCAAGTTGAATGAATGATGGCACGGCAACTGACGAAATAAAAGCTAAGGATGAAGGCCTTTCTAAATAATCATGTGATTGCTTTGGAGGATTGCCTCACCATAACCCTGCCCTCTTACTGGATCATGCTCTGGAACATCTACATTGGCTGTCACTGTATTGTACTATTTGGTCTATAGTATCAAACAATAATTTGTATAGCATAAGGCCAGGATATCTTGAGGAACATTTCTCAAGATATGCTCAATTTATGCAAACTGTGAAATCCATAAAGGAATTAATCTCCTAAAACAGATTGGCTTTGACAGTATCTTTGGAATTCAGTCCCACTCACTGGTGGTTAATATATTTCCCTTCTGCATAGCAGTTATGTAAGTTTGAAAATTTGCCCTGCCTTGGGAATTCAATCCATGCTTTTTCAGTTGATCATTGTTCTACATATAATAATTGAGACCATGTTTTAATGCTTGGTTTTTAAACTATGTTGTGGAACTGTTGTGTATGCCACCTGGATGCAGTATTTGAAAAGCAGCCTTGTAATACTGTAAGTAAATACAATAAAAATAAAAATAGTTTATTTTTGTGGTAGATAGAAATGTGTTGCATAGCATTTTTGATAGTGATAATGGAGAATTTCATGTATTTGTTTGCAAAGTGCCTGTTTCACTGTACAAGAGTTACATTAGAAAGAATACAATCTACAAGTTAAATGGATATGTTAGCACTATAATTTTTTGTCAGAGCATTTCAAAATATTATTTTAATGTCAATTATATCTCATTATCCAAAATAGTCACATTAGAGGAACCCCATATAATATATATACACACACATTGTTATTCATTACAATGACATCTTTGTTCTTTTGAAAGGTCCTGTTTGACTAAGACAAAAAAATAGTGTTATGAGTCATCAAATAACTTGAATATGCTGAAAAACTTTAATCTGGTACCAAATAATGAGAGAAATTACAGATTGGGTGGTTTTGTGGCTGATATTTTTCTAATGTAATTGATTGTTGGCCAAAAAAAGAAATTTTTGTAATAGCATTACATAATGATAGAATGGTAGGAATAGGTGCTTATAGAAGGCCATTGAAATATTCAACATGTATTTTTTAATGTAAAATTCTACAACAAATACAAAGAAACAGCTGGTGAAATATTAGGTCTATATTTGATTTGGAATCCAGAAGAGAGTTATGAAGCCTCTAATTCAACTAATTCTAAAATATGGTACTTTCATTGTTCTGAATTATTTCTTAAAGCCTTTTGGCACGCTATTATATGTACATCTTAGAGGAAAATAACCTATAACAATGGGTTACATAATATGAAATAGCTTTAAGTGATTTAGTATAACAGATGTGTTTCTCTGGGAATTTCACAGCAGTCTACTTAAAGTAAGAGGAAAACCTCCTTTGTTACTTTTCTTAATGTTTTTTTCTGGGTAGAAATTGTTATAGCACAAAACACCTTCAGGCCAATTTAACATGAAATTCAGTGTAATGCAAAATGTTAGAAGTTTGTGCAATTTCATCATTTCAACCATCTTAAGAAAATAGTTCAGTTTTAAAAAGTGTGGAGTCCTTGCACATAATGACATCTATAGAACATAGAATAAACCTTTATCCTAGAACATAGAATAACAGAGTTGGAAATGTACTTGGAGGTCAAACTAAGATCTTGGGATTCTGAACAGAATTAACATTCTGTTTCCCTGGAAGCAAACTGTTGTTGCTTAATTACCAGATAAAGATCAATAATACTAGCTCTGCTTAGAAGAAAAAGGAATTAATCATTGATGTTAGTTTAAACTTTTTTGAGGTAGGTTTCCTAAAAAATGCCAAAATACTGGGCAGAGTGCATTATTAGAAACAACTGGAAATCAATGAAGGTGTTTCGGAGGGGGGGGTGTGCCTCTATGTACCCTGTGTTATTTCCAGATAATCTTCAAGGGCCACCCTGAAAGGTTGCAGTGGTGCAGTGCAGCTTTGAGATACTATAGCCACAGTGAAGGAGTAAAGAAGACCTGCCTCTTCCAGATTAGAGTGCAAAAGTTTGATCAGTTTTTATCAAAACTATCATTCTCATGTTATGTGGCTGTCCAATACTAATGCTGGATCCAGGAAAATTCTCAGACTACAAATCTGATTTTTAAAAGAAAGTGCCACACAATACAAAATAGCTTTTTATCTCCCAGATCTTAAAATTCAGCTTTTGGAAAACATAAAAGCTCCATTTTTTCAGAGTTTAACTTCACTTTGTTCTCCCTGTCTAGTACTTTACAGATTGGAAATATCCAATACTGCGCTTTGGGGAGAGGAGAAATATAAGCTAAATTTCACAAGTATATTGAAAAATATTATTGATTTTTCTTTCTTTTTATGACCTTGTAATCCCTTGCTTTGGGGTGGGGTCAGAGTGACTGAATGGAGCTGAGCATTTATTGGCTGGATGCCCTTCCTGAGGCCTACACAGAATTTGCAGCAGATATTTTCTCTTTGGGCCCTGATAGAGAAACATCTGTTGCTGCCTAGAATTGAACTCTCAACCTTCTCGGGGAGGTGAGAGTCTTCACCTTTACGCCACCACACCTCCCAAAAAATATGATTGAATAACATCAATATATTGATAGCAGATTGTTGCTGATTAATGATGGATAATTGGAACAACTTACATCCTGCAATGGTACCTTTACTATTATTAAACAGCATCTGCCTATCCCAGGTCTTTGGAAAGGATTTGATAGTAGACAAAAAAGCTAAATCAAATCTAAACATTTGATATTCTATCATATAATTAGTCTCCTCATTTCAAGTTCTAAAACAGCAGGATGAAAAATAAGACAGAAATGTTTATAAATTCTCATTAATATAACAAATGATAGATTAGAGAGAATGAGCTGAAGACAAAATGCCGCTTTGTTAGTCTAAATTGAACTGAGACTGATAAAGAAAGGAGATTGTTGGAAGTTTACTATATAAACTGCACAAAGTATCTTTACAGAATAATGGTTATGAGCATAATGGACTGCTTAATTTCTTCAAGGAAACATCCCCTGAACAGAAGGAGCTTCTGGTTTAATTACAATTAGATAATCCTTTTATTTTTAGCTCTGAGCACCCTACTTCCAAAGGCTACACCACTTTCTATAGCAAAACATTTGTAGCACATTAACAATTGATCATTTTTTTAATTATAGAAGGGCGATCTCATTATATGAGAAGGAGCTGCCATAAGGAAGGGGAGAAAAGGCAAAAAAACAAAAAACTATGCTTCTTCTAACAAACTTAAAACCATTTCTGAAAGGGAATTCTTAGCCCATGTTTTTCAAGCTTGCTGGTCAACTTGGAAAAATGCTTTAGATTAAAATGCCTTTGAAATATTTTGTTTTTATAAACTGGCAGGATTAGTTTTCAGTGTCTCCCAAATGGAGAAGATGGGCCAGTTGTTCTTTTACCAGAAAGCTGACCGGTGCCATAGAGTTGGTGGTAGAGCGGTCGTTCTGCCAAAGGAATACATGTTAAAGCTTTCCTTTCGGCCTTGGAGCTTCAGCAGTCCGACTTCCTCCTGTCCCTGTATAATAAGTGGTGAGGAAGCTTCTGTGTGATTTCCCTCATGCCTGAACATGGTGGAGGAATTGGTTGACTAGCCCAACTGACCTGTCTTCTTTATTTGTTGGTTTGCTTGCTTGTTTTGCAGCGACTGACCTTGAGACATGTGAACAGTAACCAGTGTCTGGACGAGCCCTCGGAGGATGACAAAATGGTTCCTACCATGAAAGACTGCAGCGAAAGCCGATCCCAGCAGTGGCTGCTACGTAACATGACCTTGGGTGCCTAAAGCCACGACAGACTTCACGTCCTTCCTCGGACCTTGGAAGGGTCTAACCTGCTCACACTTCGCACAGAAGGATGTTCTTCTTCCCTTGTGGTTGGTGAAGAGAAAGGGTTTGGATGCTTGATTCAAAGCCCCACATGCCAGAAAAACAACTTTTTTTTTAATGGCTTAAAAGCATGGTTGCACTTTTTTCTCTCTCTCTCTCTCTCTGATTTTTTTTTTTTTTTACAAGTCAGCTGAACACACGGACGCTTTACCCACCCTGGCATATACAGTATTATGAAGACACCGCAGTTTTGAGAAAAGGAGACTCCGGAAAAGGGTTACAAAGCGAAATTGCAAGAGGGTGGAAAGTGGCTTGCTGTGGGTTCTGTCCTGTAATATTGCTTGAAAGTGACAATGTTAAATGCCTTATGAAGCTCACTTGCATTGTGAAAGATGGTAACATTTGTTTTCCTCAGTTGATGTACTTGTACCAGTCCTTCATGGTGACAAAGGAAGAATCCGTTGTTGATCTGCTGCCAACCCCATTACCTATGAATAGCCCAGCTGAAAAGATTTCTCAGCAGTAAATTTCTGTATATATTGGATGTTTTTCATGTATAGTGTCAGGGGGAAAAAAGTGGCATTTCTGTTCCTGAAACCTCTGTTAAAATTCACAGAACTGGATGAAGGATATGCCGGTACTTGGATTGTGAAAATCAAATTCACGGCCAAGGGAAGCGTAAAGAAATGGGATTGATGATACCCACCGATGCCCTTTGCAAAATAAAAGTCATTACAAGCATTGTAACACATTAGGCCAACTTCCGTAGTCTTACATTAACAATTAATATAAAGGACAGCAAGAAATTTTACCTAAATCACACGAGATGCAGATAGAAGAACCAGGTTTATGAGTAGACACAAGCTGATTTCAAGTTGAGTTTGGTTGCAATAGCTACTCCTTTTTTGTTCTACCAAATGTATTTGTTTTCTAAAGATTCTTGGTCCGTAGGCATAAATACCAGTAGGTCTAGCCTGAAAATGTCAACAATGCAATGCAGCCCCTTAATAATTATTAAGATCTTATGATGAAGATGTATAAGTCTTCAAAACATAGCAGGTTGAACATTTAGCATATGATAGCACCGAGTTCAGGACTAATTAAAAACTTGTCTAATAAACTTGTCTGTTTCGTATATGGAGGACATGGGATTAGATATAACTATCTCTATAAACAGTATTTTATTTTTTTTTAAAGGGAAGGGCTTTTTTTTGTCACATACTGTATCTCTATGCCAGGATGCAAGTAGGAACAAGGTTTATCCAACATTGGTATCTGTATAGTTCTAGCGATGATTCTTGGGTCAGAAAGTATATAAAATGTACTCATTTTTTACCTGGATTTAATTTATTGCAGTTTGTTTTATCAACCCCAGGGCCATGCCAAAAGTTTTGTGAATTGTGCTATATTGGGTCGTATGGACTGATCAATTCCACACCGCAATACTGAGAAATTAAAACAACTTCTTTCAAGTTTTATTCTGGCATCTTGAGAAAATGAGATGGCTCTTCCTGCAGATGAGACTCCCTACATGATACTGCCTTTACGTCGTTATCACCCAACTGTTGACTTTGAACGTGCTCATTTGTCTGCTTTTTCTATCCCAGAAGAGTTCTTCATGAGTACTATATAAGTGTGCTAGGAAAACGTCCACATTTCCGCAGGATCAGAAGCAAAATAACATAAAAACATCAGCCTGGAATCCAAATTGGAGAGCCAGAGGGGCCGAGGCAGGCAGCATTCCCTGAAGAAGGGGAATGAATGGTCTGATCAGCAGAGGCAGGCAAACAGAAGACGTATTCAAGGATGCAGGTAGTCCTTGACTTAATCACAGTTGGGACCAGATTTCCAGATATAAATCATTATAGTTGTAAGTTGAGTTGTCCATGTGATTGGACCCAATTTGACGACTTTTTTTTTTTTTGCAGAGGTTAGGCAAATCACTGCAGTTGTTCAGGGAATCTGTAGTCACTGAGTGATCGCCACAGTCCTAAATATGGACCCATTTGGTTTTGCCGTGACTGGGGGGGGGAGGCAATTTACAACACCCAGAATTGCTTTACAGGCCATAAAACACTTGCTATCGTAATTTTAAAAAAGGTTGCTAAGTGACTGATCATAGTCTGAGGACTGCCTGTAAACCGATGTTAGCCAGATCTTTGACAAGTAACACAGCCCTTTTAACTAAAGGGTACATGATCTCATTTGAAGTGTTTATTGCTTATCTGGGTCTACAATATTCCAGGTTTCCAGGTGACACTTGGACAGGCTGGCTGTGGTTTCTGTACTGCCTATGTTAGGGGGACACTGAGAAGCAGCAAAGTTTAGGTTATCCTGCAGCTTACCTTTTTGATACTCACCTGCCAAATTGACTGATAATATGGCAGCAGTCTTTGTTCCGGAGAAGAGAGCATTACTGTTCTCCCCCATAGGTTTTATCCCACAATCTGAGTAACAGAAAATCTCCTTTTGCATCCCACAGCAACTCTGGCAGCCATGACCTTTGGAAGATCAGTAAACATTCAGGGATCATACTGCTCCAAATCCATCAAGTAAAGGGTTTTGTTCAAGCTCCTGTAAGAGCAAGCTCAAATACAGGGGGGTCTGACTTATTTTCGAATAAGAACATAAAAAGGAACTTAATCCAGTGTAAGGAGTCATGAGCATATGTCCTATACATAAAAAAAATATAAATACAAATTATTCCTGAAGAAACGTGGCTTGCGCTAAACAGTGAGGAAGGTTACTGCAAAGTTAGTTGAAGCTAATTATCTTATTTTTAATCACTTAAGAAGAGGGTCCAATATAAGTGATGCTTTTTCTTATTAATAGGATGACATTAAAATGCAATAAAAGCATTTGCTTCCCTCAAATGAAGGGGGTCTTTGAAAGTCATATGCAAAGTTTGAGAGAGGAGCAGTGGAACCATCAGGCAATCACTTCTCCGATTCCCACAGTTCCAAGAAGGCTTACTAGGAATTTTAAGGGCTGAATCCCAACACATTTCAACCCTGTGCCAGGATTTTGGCTTAAGGGAAGTAGTAGCAGGCTGATGGCTACAAGCAGAATTGAGACCATAGGTTCTGCTTTCACTTAACCCTACTGCTAATTCCAATTAAATGCCTCCCTGGAGCACCTCACGGACTGCCACATCAAATATCTACTTCATCCCGCCTTTTTAGTGAGCAAACAATAGGACATGGGGGATACGCCCCAGCATTATCATTATATTCCTAAACTGTTAAGGCTAAAATCAAAGTTTTAATAAATAGTTTTACAGGATTGTACATTAGCTTGTGGTGTCCTCTCTTTTGTGTTCTGTAGATCAATAAAATGTGTGCTGTTCCTCATTTGAATGGCATTGATTACTCACTTTTTAAAGTCGCTTTATGATATCAGCAGTTGAATTCAAATTTAAACATTTTTTTTTTAAATTTAAGTCAGGTTGCCTTTTCTCTCCCTGTATGTAGATTAGAAACAATGTCCTAATTCCATAGAAATGTGCCGAGGGACAATATGATAAATATGAAAAATGATTGAGTATAAATACCTAAAAACAAGAACAATAAAAGAAAGGGTAAAACTTAAGGAATTTCTTGAGGAGGGAAAGATAGGTATATAAAGTTTGAGCCAATGGAAATAAGTTCATTTTGTCTTCAGAGGCTGCTTCTGGACTGTTGAATCCAAGAATAGTACTTTTATCTAACAACAGACAAGTAAAATAGCCTTTTAAGAGGTGATTAATACTGTACTGATATCGATATAGTCCAGTTTTTTTTTACTTGAAATTAATGAGATCATATCTGATCATATAAATTTTAGTTGCATCTCATTTGTAGATGCTAAATACAGTCTCAAATGAGGCATATATTAGCGAGGGTGCTTAAGTGTAAAGCTATGAGTTAGGCTGAAATGGTTTAGGAAAGAAATTTGAAATAAATTTTATAATGTTACTGTCTTCTAAATCCTACTGCACCATTATAAACTAGATAAACAAACACAATTTCAATAGGAAATCAGGTTTGCAATTAACTATTGTAATAGCAACATCTTGAGAATTCAAACTCTGTATTCCACAAACCATTATACACACATGCGCACACGGACACTCTCCCACCTGTATTTTCCATTTATGGATAAATTTAAAAGTATGCTGCTATTACTGTATGAATGCATCTGGTAAGATTCAACCACATTAAAATGCTACTAAATATATTGCTAGTGTTTCATCTCAAGATGTTGACTGTGCATCAGCAAAATGTTTTAGATTATGTGAATTAGTGTGAAAGTATTTTCAAACACAGCTATATTTCCGAAGCCTCACTTTCATTTTTTCAAATAGACTAAAGTTGCCATTTGTCCCTTAAATGTTCAGGATAGCTGGTCCATTGATGTTCCAAACCTCCCTAGGCTTTGCATACATGGTAACAAACTTAAATTTGGCCGAAGTATGCATGCTGAGGGGTTTATAGCCAGTCCCACCTTCTGATTGATATGCTTCTGCAATGTGCAAAATTACAAAATTTATCACATCCCTGTATCTTCAAATGCACGGGGAAATATCTGAAGCATACACCCAAAAGGCATAATATGCAAGGAGGTCCTTTAAAATAGCCACTAAGGGTTTTTTTAAAAAAAAAAATATACTTGATCATCCAATTTAGAGGGAGTATCCATTGGAAGAGTTGCTCTTAAAACTTCCTACATTGCGTACTAGGGACACAATACATGTTACAATTCTAAGAGTGGGCTGTGTTCAAAAATTACCAATTTCAAATGTAATCATTATTAAATGTTAACTCTGCTGTAAATTTTCAATATTTATACATTTTGTAGAAATAAAATATGCCAGTTTAGTTTTATTCTTCTGGGTATTGTCATTCTTAAGGGCATGAAATTAAGTTTTGCTCCCTGTCTCACACTTGTACAGTAAGACTTTTACATCAGTGTTTCCCCAGTATGTTGGCTGGGAATTTCTGGGAATTATAGTCTACACATCTTAAAGTTGCTTAAGTTGAGAAGCCCTGGTCTATACCCACATATGTATGTGTGTAAATTAACTGTTAATGGGCAAAAAGATACCAGTTGCATAATCTAGCGTTAT